CCTGTTTAAAAAGTTAAATTCAAACTATTTAAGTTAAATGAATTATTAAAATATGGGTATCACTCGAAGGGACGTTGAAAAACTTTTATTTGTGAACTGTATTTAGCGGGGTTGCCACATGTTTAAAAAATCAAATTCAACTTAATTCATCAGTTAATTAAAATATGTATCACAATGTCAGACGAATGTTATTTAAGAAGGTTTTAGCATGAAACTGCTTTTGAAGAGTTTTGAAAATTGCATTAAAATTATTTAGAAAGTTATATGAATTAATAAAAGATGGAAATTAATTGAAATGGGTTTGAAAAGCTTTATTTCTGTTAACTGAAATAGGTATCACAATGTTAGATTTAAAAATACTTTAGTTTGAATATGTCTTTAATATAGTCGAATTTGTTTAACTTGTGCGCAAGTTTTATGAAATATTAAAATATAAGTGTCAATCGAAAGAGATTTATTAAAACTAAAGTTGCATTAAAATTATTTAGAAAATTAGATGAATTAATAAAAGGTGGATATAAATTGAAATGGGTTTGAAAAACTTTATTTCTGTTAACTGAAATAGGTATCACAATGTTAGACTAAAAATACTTCAGTTTGAAAATGTCTTTGATGTAGTCGAGTTTGGATAACTTTTACGCAAGTTTTATGAAATATTAAAATATAAGTGTCAATCGAAAGAGATTTATTAAAACTTTATTATCAAAATATCTTTGATTAGGCTTGCCACCTTTTCGAAAAGTCATACCAATCTCACTAAGTATAAACATATATTATACGAAAAGGAATATTTTGTAAAGATCATTAGATTTGCATCGTCCTTCTGAATTTCAAATATGAGAGGTGGAGTAAGGACAATGGCCTGTTTGTTTGAAGTTAGATCTTTCTTATCGGCACAGAATAATTTGATACTTGATGACATTAAAAACCGCCACTATGCGAGACCTCCCTTAACCCAGAAACGGCTGCACCGATTTAGATGAAATATGACACTTGGATCGCTTATAAATCTGACTAAAGTTTAGAATAACTTGAGGTTTTTGAATTGAAGTTTTGGGCGTTTTAACGCCATGCGGGTACACTAGTTTTTTATATTGGGCTATTGGTACAAAATAAAAAAAATGGAGCGACAAGTTTTTTTGTAGTCACACGATTAGTACAATACAGCGAAATTCTAACTAAAAATTTGAACACATTTTTTTCGTGATTGGGAAAAAGAAAAACATTTTGTGCGTTCAAACGATTAGGATACGTTTTCCACCAAACTTTGGGCAAATGCCCAATTGTGTGACACTGCCTTAACACTGCCTTACAGCCAAAAATTCTATAGTTTTTGTCCCAATTTCAAGAAAAATGTATACAGTTTTATGGCCCATTAAATTTTAATAGGTTAAAAATAGGGAAAATCGCGTTGTGTTTAATTTTTTTTTTTAGCTGACGGCGTTGTGCATTTTCTTTCATACAAAGTATGCTCGAAAATTGCATTTATATGGAAGAAAATCCACAACACCGTCAGCCAAAAAAATTATTAAAAATCAACGCAATTTTCTAGCGATTTGAATTTTGCACTATGGGCTATAAAGCTGCATATTTAAACTTTTTCTAAGAACTCTACATAAAAAGTTTAAAATTTTTGGGCGTAATTGTTAAAAAGTGTTTAATTTTTATAATTTTTGCACGAAGTTTGAAATGTAGATTTAATTGGTACGGGTTATGAAATATGCTAGAATTTTATAAAAAAAAAATTTTAACATTAAATAAACAAAACTAAAATAACAAAACTGGTCAGAATGTCACTTAATCAGCTGACCACAAGTGTATGTATATGAGCGCAGATAAATGGGAATCAAGTTTGCTGTACTTTATAAATCGAAATTTTGTATGAAAATGTCACTTTATAAAGCTCTTTAGACCGATTTTATTTTTTATGAATAAGGTATGAATAAGGCCATTGAATTATTATTAAATTTCATTCTATCAATAACTGTTTATGTTTATACGTATGTATCTATGTATGTACATATAAACATTTATAAGTATGAATATATGATAGTGTATTTTTCACAATGTCAATTGGCAATAAATTACACTTTCTCATAAGTCAATATACCGACCGTATAAGCACCTAGTTCTTTTTGTATATGGGTAATTTCCAAACAAAGTGTTTTTTTTTTCTTACGCCGTTTTAAATTTTTTTGGTGGTAAAAACGAAAGATCAAAAAAGTATTATAAGATCCAAATAATATGCCACCAACAAATCTATTATTTTATTACTGTAAGCCGTTTTGCTTTCCTTTGGGAATGGTATTTCTTTGATATATTTTATCAATTCCATATAAAAATATTTGTCCACGCTCAGGTTATTCGATATGGAACATGAAAAAAAGTTTAAACGAAGAAACAATGAAAAAAGGCGTAAATGTTTGTAAATTATCACCTTAACTTTTGTTGTTTTATTCGTTTTTGGCCTGAAATTTTTTATCAGATTAAGCGTGGCTTTCTAAAGGTACGGTTAAACGTGGCAATGCAAGCGCTTTTTCTACGCATTTTGCTGTCTAAATGCGAAATCGGTGTAAACAGCCAGAAAGTCCTTTTTGCAGATTTGCAGAAGTCATTTTCGGAAATAAAAATTGCAAGGTGTAACTGCAACTGAAATTACGCAAATCGTTTTCCACTAGCAATTTTCATTTTTGCAGCAAGTGCTGTCAAACCAATCGAGTGTTGCCGTGTGACGCGATTTTTGCAGAATTTGTATAAGATTTTAAAAAAGTTGCATCACATTTAATAAAATACTTGTAATTAATGTATTCTCCTGATATGAAAAATTTAAATATAAAAGCATTAGACATTTTTTGGTTGTTTTGTGCGCATTTTAGCATTTAAAAAAAATACAGAGGTAAGTAATATTTTTACTAGCATAAGATTGTCTGGTAACATGGGTGAAAGTGGAATTGTCTGCATTCCGTATCGAAAAGTTTGATTTTCAGAAATAAAATCTGCTTTCGGAAACCACTTTACATGCAAGGTGTAACTGCTCCGGCAATCTCTTTTGGAAATTCTTGAGTTTGACAGACTTTTGAAAAGGACTTGCACTTGCCACGTCTAACAGCCACTTAACATTAGTGGTTTTGCTTGCCTAAGTGCATGTAAAGCGTAAAAAGTTATTAATCTAATGGCATAAGAAATAACTTAATAAAAGCAATCATTGCACCATGTTAAGTAAGGCTAAATATTTCTGGAATGTCACCCAGTTTTTTATTCAAAAAAACCAAAAAATAAAAATAAATAGTTACTAATGGCCTTCACGAATTTCGATGAACTTCTTGTTTTTATATTTTGGTGAAATAAGACTTTAAAAAAAACTTTAAACATTTCCAGTCACTTTTAGGTGACAAAGTATTTTTTATTTAAATAGCTTTTTTCTGCAAACGTGATCAAATGGCATATATGGGAAATTGTTGACGTAGAAAGATTAAACAAAAAAACCTGCCTCCTAAGAAAAACCTCAGGTTAATGTCATGAAGAAAGTGGAAAAAACTTTAACATTACCTTACCGAATGAATGAGTTTTAAATTGACATGCAAATATTTAAAAAGCATGAATTTAATGTCAAAAATCAGTACTTACAATGCTTATGGGTTAGTATACTTTTTCTAACAATTTCTAAACTTATTTATTCCTTTAACTTACTTTTAAAACAGTGACTTTTTGGAAAATATTTTACAAAAATGCAATAAGAAAAACTTTATACGCCAAGTTAGGTTAATCTAAGTACTGATAGGGATAAAACGATACCATGGAAGTATATGGCCTCCCAAAAAACAAGAAAAAGGGCAAAGTCCAATACGTTGTTTTTAAAAGTCCCCAGAATTTTGTGCATAAATTTTCACGTCAGTAAACAATTTCAGAGGATAAATTTCATGATTCAATGATAAATTATGATGGACAAATCTATCTTAAAAAAATATAAAAAAAATACCTGCCATGTACACTCGATTCAGCCCAGGAGAAGCTCGGCCAAACACTAACATATGTGTAAGTGCCAATCTATTATTATTATTATAAACGATTTCAGAAGATAAATTTATCAATCTTAAAAAAATATAAAAAATACCTGCCATGTACATTTTGTTTGGAACTGACCCATATAAATAAGTATGTATGTAGTAAGTGAAGAATGTCTTGCTTATTAAAAATGCAATCACATAACCCTACATATACCTAATACATGTGTATGGATCAGGGCTCACATGGAATATTGGCTTAAGTCGGGGGGCTGGCTTTATTATAATGCGTCATTCATTAAACCACAAGGAATTTTGTGATGAAACTTAACCAGCATCACTAACCAGCATGCTAGCATCAGAACTATTATTTTCGCATTTATTTGACAAGGGTTCTTCAATGACTTGGAGTCAGTGCGTCATTCGCAATCGTACCCTTCGAATGGCACATTCTACTAAAACCAGTCTTCCGATTTAAGCTACTATTCCATATGACCATACATATGTGTCTGTAAATAAAACACAAATGTAAAAACTGTTATAAATTTGCAACAGCATGATTTGTTATATCGTTGAGTGGTTGAACTCTAGGCCTTAAAGACAATATGCAAATGTAATAAAGCAACTCGGCTATTCGGTAAATGTTTCTTAAATACAGCCATGCTCTTATGAACTATAGAAAATCTACTTCGTGGCTCAACTCTATGCACCATTTAACATACATACATACATACAACATTTTGCTTTCAATTGATATTAGTTTTGCGGGGCGAAAAGCCTGTTGTTCAGGTTGACAAGCAGACTTCCGGATCACACATTCTGGTGTGGTGCCTGAGGCCCGGTAAGAGTCAGCCAACGGTGCAATGCGTGGCAAGTGTGAGCTCTGGCTAAGTAGTTATTGCGTACGATATCAACAAAATTACCAATATCCGAGAATAATAGAATACATCTTGACCAATATCTATTAATAACGAATAAACGTCTACCTATGCGTACCTTATCTCTACCGCCATAACTGTCGATAATTTCACAAAATTCATTTACAAACTTGGTCGTCGACATACTATATTAGAATATATTACTGGAAAATAGTATGAGGCAAGTCAAAACTCCAATTAATCGAATAACTAAGTTTTTATTCAATGAAGTACAATTCACACAACTATTATTCGATCACTGTAAACAAACAGACGCAAATTCCATACAACCCACACGTACCGATTGTCAAAATACACTACCAACCAAAGCTGTCAAACTATCAACACCACTATCGATAGTATCGATGGTTTTGGGTTTCGGTCTACTATCGATAGTTTTTAACACTATCGATACTATCGAAAAATTACCACTCTTATGCCCTGGTTATAAAGGACGGGGCGAATCTTAACAAATCGCGGTGAATTCGTAATGCTCTATTGATTTTAGATTGTTCCGTTTTACGTTACGTTTACGTGTATTATAATCATTTGCATTCATTTCCCATGCAGTAGATAATTAAGTGAAAGTTCACTCCATTCCGTTACTTACATTATAACCCAGGCATTAACGCAAGTCCACATAATCTTTGGCGGTGCGTTGGCGTTGGCGTCGCTTCAACAGCTGACGATGAATACATGAATTCAAATGCATCCGTCAACATAGCCGAAATTCGATAACGCTCACGTCAACACAAAGCAAAAAGATGGCCAACTCTCAACTTTTCGCGTGCGTCGCTCGTCAGCTGTTGCAAATAAATAAAATTGTGTGAAATAATTTTCCTATTTAATCAAGTGCGGGCAAGAAATATCGTTTTTAATGCAATTATTGATAAAAATAATAATTTATCTGTCGTTAGTATGTTTATTTAGTGGTCCCAGCATTCGCTGCCAAGCGTTCATTGTAGCAAGCATACGTTTAACGAGCGTTCTGTCAAACCAACGCCAACGTCGGAGCCAACGCCAAAATTCTATGTGGACCGGCCTTTAAAGCTCAGTTAGTCTAGACTTAACTTAATTTAACTTACCAGAAGAAATCATCAATGATTACTCAACACGTCAACTTAATCCAAGAGCGGAAATATTTTGTTTTTGTATTTTCTTTTTCAGCTGTTTAACAGTTCGCCGCCTTAAATGCCACATCAAAAAAATTCATGCAAACAAAAATGTTTGCTTTCATTTATTTTTAAGAAATACAAAAACGAGTCTGGCAAGCCTGATTCTCTCACCGCTCTCAATTTCCGTAAGACCGTAACTTAAGAACCTAAAATCTACAGGGTCTTAAGCTGAAATTAGTCGAGAACGCAGAACGTATACTTAAACGCAGTCTGTATACGCAGAATTTTGTCGATTACTGGAGCCCTCAGTGTTGCTTACTACACTGTTGCCACTCATCAATGCCTTTTCATAAACTTACCCTTTCAACTACAATTTTTCGTGCTATAATAGATTTTAGCTAAATATAAACTACTTAGTTTTCAACAAAAACCTTATTCAATAGTAAATTTCAAATATTTTAAACATATTTTGAATAGGAACTTATATCTTTTTTACCATCTGTAAAACTAACGAAGTGGCAACCATCTAAAGAAGGAGAAATCAGCCAACACGGAAAAATCTAAATTCCGCAGATTTCTGCGCTACGGGCTACAACTACAGAAAAATTCTGCGGTGTTGAGTTTTCATTTACATGGCGCTTTGGTAAGACAGATCGTGTCAGCTGACTCGGGTTTACGTACCGGTAGGTTTACGTTCTTGACTAATTTCAGCTTAAAGTTTCTTACGGTAAGTTAAGTTTTAACTAACCGCCAACACAGTTTCTCATATAACAGGTTGGCCGAAATATTTAGTTAAGTTATGTTACAGAAATTAAGTCTAGACTAACTGACTAACTGAGCTTTTACTAGGCCAACGTAAAGGGCCGTTTACATAAGACTTTCCTCGCTTATTCGCTCCAAAGTTTACATGTATTTTGTTTTTGCTTTTGACGGGTGGGCTGTCAAATCAGTAAAAGCAAAAACAAAATACACGTAAGACGAAAAAATCAGCTTATTCTACAACACCACCTTCTATAAGTTCGCCTTGCTTCAAACGTTTTTATGTGAGCATACGCGCATCATCGCATGGTGTAATGAACTGAAGTAAGGCGTATTTAACAAGGTGGTGTTGGCCGTATATAAGTAAAAAATTACACTAACAAATTATACGCTGATGTCCATACTGTCATTGGTATGAGTTACAACAAACACATCATTTTGACGTAATGGCCTCCACGGCGAAAAACTCAGCTGTCGCCCCAACACCACCTTGTTTAATACACCTTTGACGATTATATGGTTTATTACCGATATAACTTCTTCGTTCTATATACAAATTACAGTATATATAGTATAGAAAAATATTGCGCTGAAAATTTTTGGACAGTTTCCGCGTAAATACAGAATACTTTTTTTCTATGTTATGTGAGCAAATTGAAATATTAAACCACGTTTTTTAGTTTACAATAGGTTCTTTCCCGTACGCAACGCGGGATCCCGGGGTGCCCAAAGTAGCCCAGAAATCATTCCCGTACTCAACAAAATGGGTAACGTATTGGATCGCAAGTGTCTTTTTCTTCCTGCCCGAAATAGCCCAGTCTTTTTCTCCGGGTAAAAATGGATAAAGCGTCAAAGTGCATGTTTACATCTCAGTATATCCAGTAAACAAACTTAGCTATTTTTTCCACCAAATTTGGTCCCCATAAAGGACTAGTGTTGCAAGCAACGCTTTTTCAGCAATAAGGGTGTTGTGCAGCAATTTTATGTGGTGAAAATTATTTTAGCACTGGAAAAATGGATAGAAAAATATTGCAGTGCGCTTGAACATCTCAGGTTTAATTGAAATATAAATGTATTGGCCCGTAGTCATAGTCAAAATAAAGTCGACTTTAAAGTTAGTTGCAGCTTTTTGANTGAGAATATTTATTTTACTAATACATACCAATTTTTTTTATTTTACTGTGTCGAGGTCGTTGCACAAATATTTGCAATTTAGTATTTAAGTTAATTGTGAAACATATTGAATGCACTAATTAAATTATGGGAGCGATTTATTCACATAGAATTGGAAATAGGGTTGATGATATTCTTTAAATAAATTGTGAGTCTGCGAAAATATATATGAATATAGGGCCTGTTCGAGGCACGTAATAAAAGCGGCATTACTGCTGTACTGATGAAATATGGCAAAAATGTTGCAATCATCTTTATATTTTTAAAATCAAATTTGTGAAACAAAAATTCAATTTCAAAGCGTTTGCATTTAAGTGACAAAAACAAGCCGAATCAACTGTTGCTCAAACTCTGGGCACGAAATGTGGTTTTTTGCGTTCCCGTACTTCTAGATTATGTTCCATTTTTGAGCAAAATTTTCGCTTATTCTCTAATTACCGGATCCGGTCCGGATTGTTAGGGAAAGAACCTAATCTTTTAGTAAAATAGTGATATGTTCATAGGTACATATGACATGAAATATGTATGTACATAATAAGCAGGATATATTAAGGCATAATAATTAAGCAATAAAAATATATGTATGTACTTCTGTATAGTTACGGTGACCATCCGTCCTTTATTTTAAAGGACAGTCCTTTATTTTAACCCCCTGTCCTTTGTAATTTTTTTCAAAATAAAGGACGCCTTTTGTCCTTTATTTCTTAAACTGTCCCCTAAATCAGCTCTACATACATAGGTAAATTTTTAAACACAGAATATGAAAAATAAAAATGTCCCTTACAAAATATAATGAAAACCTTCGCCAGTATGTTTCGCCCCCACCTAAGGGTTTATATATAATCAGTAATCTTTGTACAAACTATAAAGGAGGATCGTGTTGCGCGCTGAGTTTTCAGTTCCATTGAAAGAAAACAATAAACCCCCTGCTGCACAGTGGTTCAAAACTGGCATCTAGTGTTCATAATTCACTGGAGACTTCATTTTTCCCTTAATTTGATTAATTTTTATTTATTTTTTTATGAAAGATTACAATATTTGCTAGAGGCTAGTTGAGTCTGATGTGTGAATTTTTATTTGATTATATTAAATTTTGTAGTGCAAAATCCAAAAAATTAGCAATTTTAAAGAAAATGTATTCTCCTGTTCCAGTTAATAAATGTCACATAACAAAAACTAGTTGAAAACAGTTGTATGGTTACAAATTACACAAAAATAAACTTTGAAATGTTATAAAAAATGTTAACAAAAATAACTATTTTTTTTGGTTTTTAGTAAAAATTGGTTTAAAATGAAGGCTCCGGTGAATTGTGAACATTAAATTCCAATTTTGAACCACTGTGTGCTGGCTTCGTCGTGCAGTATGAATTATGGTAAACACATTTTGGTAGCAAAGGGTGGCGAAGTCCTTAAAAAGGATTTGGCTACATTTTTCGCTACAGCAGGGGAACTTGGGACAATTAAATAATATAATTAACTTGTAAATATTTGATTTAAATTAAGATATGGGTAAAGTACTTTTATCATACAAGTTGTATGTACGTATTCCCAAATCATTTTGAAAAAAATGTCCTTTATTTTACGTTACTTAATATGGTCACCGTATGTACAGTACATGTATCTGACTAAATAAATACATCTTCGAAAATAATTTCGTCTTTTCGAAAGTGGAAACTTTTCTACGATACTTTAAAAGTATATCTATGATTTTTCGAACATATTTTGCCACGCTCGCAGTATCCGTGATCATGCTCCAGGGCGGACGCTATCTTCGCTCTTGTGAGGTCCAAGACACAAGGTTCACCCGACTCTTCGTTATTATTTTCAACCTCGTATGCATCCAGGACAAAATGTAAGCCATCGTCATCGAATTTCAACCTTTGTAGCCACTTCGCCAAAGTAGACTCCGAGGGCAATGGAAACCCTTTCTTGTACAAATAAGCGTATGCCTTTGGTCCAGCCGTATGCAACGTCCATGCCCACCGGATGTCATTGTCCTCCCAATGTAAGTTTCTGTTAGGATACTCTACCTTTCTAATTTGATTCGGAGTGAAAATATTAGTAAGGTTGTCCCGCAAATCACACAGGCTTTTCATTTGTATTTTTAAAAGCGACACCTCAGCTTCTAGTTCCTTGATTCTGTTCTTAAGTGCTAAGTTGTCTAGATTGATGCTCTTTTCAATGTCAGCCCTGTAATAAAACTGTTTATTTTTAAAATCAAAAATGGTTTATGGAAAATATACCCTGTTTGTGTCCCAAAATCCCTTTTACCATCATAAATTATGGCAGGTTCATTCCAAGAGGATAAATAATCTACTTGCATAGGAACTGCAGATTCCGATAAACGCTTTCGTTGACTCTCTGGATCACCTTCAACATCTTTCGCATCAAAATGAAGCTGACAAACTTTTGCGCCATGAGACAATTCTCGGCCGCACGCTTCCGTCCATTTTTGCTTCTTTCCGTCTGCCTTTGGAACTTTGAAAAATCTTTGTTTATAACTAGGCCACGTTGTTCGGCACAAGGCACAGGAAGTCTGCGGCATTTTTCTCGTCACTTGAATAGCACTCAAACTCTCGAGATATTACCCTTTATGAAGTTTGTATTAAGCTTTTATCAACCTTCAAGATAGAAATTTTAATACAAAATTCTTTAATTTGATCACAACCAAGGTACTATGGGTTAAACATGAGAAGTGTTTCTCAACTTTTCTGCTAGTTTTAGTTCAAGGTGAATTTATACAAGGTGGTGTTGTAAAATCAGCTGGTTTC